TCTTTTCATTCCCTTGAAACTTTTCCTTCAGAGTATTCCAGATCTCTTTAGCAGTTTTACAACTATGCACGTAATTGTAAACAACAGGAGGTAGAGCACCTCTGAGTTCTCTCGTTCATTTCTTCTAATTCTTCACCAATTTTGCAGCGATCTCTTGAACATTTTGATTATTGGAAGAAGTTCCAATATTCTGAACAGCAGGAGGTGGACGAACATCACCGCTAATACACTTCCATAACTCTTCATCGCTTCCATTCAAGTAATCTTCCATCCGATCAGCCAACTGATAATAATACTCGGGGATCAGCATCAGAATTTTAGTCGATGAACCAAGAAGATGAGAATAAGACGTCATAATGTTCATGTTGAAGTTCGCCATTAACATACGGACAAAATTTGAGAAAACCTTGAATTTGAACAAAATTAAACAGATAAAACTTTTGATGATCACCAATCGAACACTCGAATTAGCAACTAGACCGCAAAATTGACTCACAACAGTGGATCTAGGATGAATTTCTGATGCAAAAGAGCGGAAAATTGAAATCTAGAACGAGACTCAAAACTTTTGTGAAAATTCAGAAAAACAGATCAATTCTGTATGAATCCTGCTCTGATACCAAATGTAGTTGCAAAGAAATCGAGATTGAATAACAAGATCAGAGTAAAGTATGATTAATGAACACAAGAATTATATATAATCTGTTTGGCTCCAATTAGCTTTCAACAAGTACAGAGAGAATAGACAAGATTACACGAATGAGAAAAAGCGAAGTTCTTATCTACTCTAGTACACTTCCCTATTTATAGGAAATATGAAAGCGAACAAAAAATACAAGGGACTGATACACTAGACTTCGAACACTAAAATGCCCTTGTAATAATATTACAAACTAACGAAACTATCAACAAGATTCGACACCTCACAACTAAATTTGACATCTACAGTCTCAGACCCATAAGATACTAGATCTAGTTGATAACCCCTACAAAGCAGGGTCCCACCAACACTAGTATTATGGTCCCATGAAGTGATGGCTGGCCGGAACCCCCAATACATGATCAATAACCTCGAGTTTGAATACTCATCCCCGAACCCACACCATGTAGTGTCCAATGTCGAAGAACATAAGAAAATCAATATGTGTCTCGAACCCATATGACACCAGATCGAGCTGATGACCCCTACTAAAAATGATCCATATCCTCGACCCACACTCATACCACTCGTACTCGTACCATGTTCCCCTGGATGATGATCGAGAACACACGAAAGGAAAAGTCTCGTGTCTCGTTCCATGGCACCAGAGTAAAGGCAGGCCGGAAACCCTAATGCATGATCCATAACCTCAATTTTGAGCCCCCCGCCCCGCACCCACACCATGCAAGGTACCATGTCGAAGAACATAAGTAAATCAAGTTGTGTCTCCGACCCATATGATACTAGATTGAGCTGATGACCCCTACCTGAAATGATCCATATCCACGACCCACACTCATACCACTAGCACTCGTACCGCTGTCGCATGGCTGATGATCGAGAACATGTAAAAGGAAAAGTCTCATTTCTCGTTACATGATATAGGAGTGATGAAAGGACAGAACCTCCAATTCATGATCTATAAGGTCGAGTTTGAACTTACATACCCACACCCATACCTTGCATGGTTCGATGTTGAAAAACATAAGAAAATAAAGCCATGTCTCAGACCCGTATGATACTAGATCGAGATGATGACCCCTACTCCAAATGAACCATATCCACGACCCACACTCGTACCACCCGCACTCATACCCTGGACCCCTGGATGATGATCGAGAACACATGAAACGAAAAGGCCAGTGTCTCGTTCATGACACTGGAGTGATGGCCGGCCGAAACCACCAATGCATGATCCATAAACTCCAGTTTGAACATGTTGCCACGCACCCATACCATGCAGGGTCCCATGTCGAAGAACATAAGAAAATTAATTCGTGTCTCGAATCCATATGATAATAGATTGAGCTGATGACCCCTACCCAAAATGATCCATATCCTTTATCCACAGTCATACCACCCACACTCGCGTGGTCCCCTGGCTGATAATGGAGAACACATAAAAGGAAAAGTCTCGTGTCTCATTCCATGACACTGGAGTGATGGCAGGGTGGAAACGCCAATGCATGATCCATAACCTCGAGTTTGAACATGTCGCCCCGCACCCATACCATGCAAGGTCCGATGTCGAAGAACATAAGAAAATAAATTCGTGTTTCTGACCCATATGATATTCGATCGATCTGATGACCCTTCAACAAATGATCCATATGTAGGACCAACACTTGTACCGTGGTCTCATGGATGATGATCTAGAACACACAAATGGAAAAGTATCATGTCACATTCCATGAAATTTGAGTGATGGCCGGATGGAACCCCCAATGCATGATCTATACCTCAAGTTTGAACACGCAGCCCCTCACCCATACCATGTAGGGTTCCATATCAAAGAACATAAGAAAATCAAGCCGTGTGTCTGAACCATATAATACTAGATCGATATGAGGACCCCTACCCAAAAATGATCCATATCCATGACTCACACTCGTACAACCTTTACTCGTACCATGGTCCCTTAGCTGATGATTGAGAACACATGATAGGAAAAGTCTCGTGTATCATTCCATGTCACTGGAGTGACAGACAGACAAAACCCCCAATGCATGATTCATAACCTCGATTTTGAACACTAAACCCCACACCCACACCATGCAGGGTCGCATGTCGAAGAACATAAGAATATCAAGACGTGTCTCGGACCCACATGATACATGATCGAGTTGATTCCCCTACCCTAAATGATACATATCCACGACCTACACTCGTACCACCTACACTAGTATCGTGGTCTCTGGATAGTAAGAGAGAACACACAAAAAGAAATGTCTCATGTCTCGTTCCATGACACTGGAGTTATGGCCAGCCAGAACCCCCGATACATGACCCATAAACTCAAGTTTGAACACGCTGACCTGCACCCATACCATGTAGGGTCCCATGTCGAAGAACATAAAAAATCAAGCCACGTCTTGGACCCATATGATTGTAGATTTAGTTGATGATCCCTACCCCAAATGATCCATATCCACGACCGAGACTCGTACTACCCGCACTCATACCGTAGTCCCCTGACTGATGAAAGAGAACACACGATAGGAAAAGTCTAATGTCTCGTTCCATCACATAGGAGTGATGACCTGTTGGAATCCCAGTGCATGATCTATAAGCTCGATTTTGAATACACAGCTCCGCACCCATACCGTGCAGGGTCCCATGTCAAAGAACAAATGAAAACCAAGTCGTTTCACGGACCTATATGATACTAGATCGAGCTGATGACCCCTACCCCAAATGATCCATATCCATGACCCACACTCGTACCACCCGCACTCGTACCATGTTCCCCTGCTTGATGATCGAATACACATGAAAGGAAATTTCTCGTGTTTTGTTCAATGACACTGGAGTGATGGCCTGCCAGAACCCCCAATACAATATCTATGAGCTCGAGTTTGAACATGCAGCCCCACACCTATACCATGTAAGGTCCCATGTAGAAGAACATAAGAAAATCAAGTCGTGCCTCGGACCCATATGATAATAGAAATATATGATAACCCCTACCCCAAATGATCGATATCGAGAACCCATACTCGTATCGTGGTCTGCTGGGTGATGATCGAGAATGTACGGACGAAAAAATCTCGTTTCTCGCTCCATGACACAGGAGTGATGGCCGACTGAAACCCCCAATGCATGATCTTTAAGCTCAAATTTGAACATAAATCCCCACACCATACCATGGAAGGTCCGTTGTCGTAGAACATAAAAAATCCAGAAGTTTCTTAGACACATACGATACTAGATCAAGTTGATGACCCTACTCTAAATGAACCATATCCACCATCGACACTCGAACCCCCCGAACTCGTAACATGGTCCCCTGATGATGATCGAGAATACACAAAATGAGAAGTCTCGTGTCTCGTTCCATGACATTGGAGTGATGGTCGGCCGGAACCCCCAATGCATGATACATAACCTTCAGTTTGAATACGCCGCCCCTTACCCATAGTATGGTAGGTCCCATCTCGAAGAACATAAGAAAATCAAGTTGTGTCTCCTACCTATATGATACTAGATCGTGATGATGGCCCATACCACATTTGATCCATATCTATGACCCACACTTATACCACCCGTACTTGTATCGTGGTCCCCTAGCTGATGATTGAGAACACACAAATGGAAAGGTCTCGTGTCACATTCTATGACATTGGAGTGAAGGCCGTTCGGAACCCCTAATGCATGATACATAACCTCAAGTTTGAACAAGTAGCCCCGCACCCATACCATGTAGGGTTCCATGCCAAAGAACATAAGAAAATCAAGCCATGTCTAGGACCCATATGATACTAGATCGAGCTGATAACCCCTACCCAAAATTTTCCTTATCCACGACCCACACTCGTATCGTGGTCCGCTGGCTGATGATCAATAAAACGAGAAAGGAAAAGTCTAGTGTCTCATTTGATGACACTAGAGTGATAGCCGGATGGAACCCCCAATGCATGATCCATAACCTTGAGTTTTAACACACCACCCCTCACCAATACCATGCAAGGTCCCATGTCGAAGAAGATAAGAAAATCAAGTCATGTTTACGACCTATATGATACTAGATCGGGTTGATGACCCCTACCGCAAATGATCCATATATATATCCCACACTTGTACCATGCACACTTTTACCGTGGTCCACTAGCTGATTATCGAGAACACATGAATGGAAAAGTCATGTGTCATGTTCTATAGGGTCCCATGTCGAAGAACATAAGAAAATCAAGCCGTTTCTCAGACCCATATGATATTAGATCGTGTTGATGACCCCTACCCCAAATTTTTCATATCCACGAGCCACACTCATATTAGCCACACTCGTAGCGTGGTCCCCTGGCTAATGGCCAAGAACACACAAAAGGAAAAGTTTTGTTTCTTGTTCCATGACACCGTAGTGATGGTCGGACAGAACCCCGACTATATGACCCATAACCTCAAGTTTGAAAACGCAGCCCCGCTCCCCTACCATGTAGGGTCCCATGTTGAAGAACATAAGAAAATCAAGTCGTGTCTCAAACCCATATGATACTAGATCGAGCTGATGACCCCTACCCCAAAATGATCCATATCCACGACCCACACTTGTATCACCCGCAGTCGTACGGTAGTCCCATAGCTGATTATGAAGAACACACGATAGGAAAAGTCTCGTGTATCTTTCCATGTCACTAGAGTGACGGCTGGACAAAAACCCTAATGCATGATTCATAACCTCGAGTTTCTACATGTAGCCCCGCATCCATAGCATGCAGGGTCCCATGTCGAAGAACATAAGAATATCAAGCCGTGTTTTGGAACCATATGATACCTGATCAAGCTAATGACCCCTACCCCAAATGATCCATATCCACGACACACACTCCTACCATATGCACTCGTACTGTGGTCCCCTGGTTGATGATCCGGAACACACAAAAGGAAGTGTCTTGTGTCTCGTTCCATGACACTAGAGTGCTGGCCATCCGAAACCCCCAATACATGATCCAAAAGCTCGAGTTTGAACACGCTTCCCCGTACCCATACCATGTAGGATCCCCTGGTTGATGACCCCTACCTCAAATGATCTATATCCACGACCAACACTCGTACCACCCGCACTCGTGCCGTAGTCCACTGGATGATGATCGAGAACACACGATAGAAAAGGTCTCATGTCTCGTTCCATTAGACTGGAATGATGGCGGCCGGAACCGCCAATGCATGATCCACAAACTCAAGTTTGAACAAGCAACCCACACGTGTACCGTAAGATACTAGATCGACCTGATGACCCCTACTCGAGATGATCGATATTACTACCCACACTCGTACCACTCTCATTCGTACCGTGGTCCCCTAGGTGATAATCGAGAACATACGAAAGGTAAAGTATTGTGTCTCATTCCATGACACTAGAGTGATGGCCGGCGGGAACCCCCAATGCGTGATCTATAGCCTCTAATTTGAACATGTAGCCTCGAATCCATACCATGCATAATCCCATATCGAAGAACATATGAAAATTAAGCCGTGTCTCAGACCCATATGATAATAGATCGAGCCTCTAAATGAACCATTTCCACGACCGACACTAGAACCACCCGCTCTCGTACCATGGTCCCCTAGTCAATGATCGAGAACACATGAAAGGAAAAGTCTCATGTCTCATTCCATGACCATGGATTGATGGCCGGTCGGAACCCCCAATGCACGGTATATAATCTCGAGTGTGAACATGCTACCCCACACCCATACCATATAGGGTCCCATGTCGAAGAACATAAGAAAATCAAGTCATGTCTCGAACCCATATGATACTAAATCTAGTTGATGACCCCTATCCAAAATGATCCATATCCTCGACCCACACTCGTACCACCCGTACTCATACCTTGTTCCCTTGGCTGATAATTGAATACACACAAAAGGAAAAGTCTCGTGTCTCATTCCATGACACTAGAATGATGGTAGGCCTAAAACTCCAATGCAGGATCCATCACCTTGAGCTTGAACACGCCGTCTTGCACCCATACCATGCATGGTGCCATGTAAAAGAACGTAAGAAAATCAAGTTGTGTCTCCTACCCATATGATACTAGGTCGGGATAATGACCCTTTCCGCAAATGATCATATCTACAACCCACACTTGTACTACCCGCACTCGTACAATGGTCCCTAGTTGATCATAGAAAACAAATGAATGGAAAAGTATTGTGTCATGTTGTATGAAACTAGAGTGATGGCCAATCGGTACCCCCAATGCATGATCCATAACCTCAAGTTTGAACACGTAGCCCTGCACCCATACCATGCATGGTCCTATGTCGAAGAACATAAGAAAATCAAGTTGTGTCTCTGAACCATATGATACTAGATCAAGCCGATGACCCCTATCGCAAATGATCCGTATCTACGACCTATATTCGTACCATGGTCTCTTAGCTGATGATCAAGAACACACGAATGGAAAACTGTCGTGTCATGTTCCATATCACTGGAGTGATGGCTGGCTGGAACCCCCAACGCATGATCCATAACCTCAAGTTTGAACACGGAGCCCCGCACCTATACCATGCAGGGTCCCATGTCAAAGAACATAAGAAAATCAAACCGTGTATTAGACCTATATGATACTAAATCGAGCTGATGACCCCTACCCCAAAATTTTCATATCCACGACCCATACTCATATCACACGCACTCGTACCGTGGTCCCCTGGTTGATGATCGAGAACACCCAAAAGGAAAATTCTCGAGTTTGAACGCATCCCCACACCCATACGATGCAGGGTACCATGTCGAAGAACATAAGAACAACAAGCCGTTTCTCTGACCCATATCATACTAGATAGAGCTGATGACACCTACCGAAAATGACCCATATCCTCGACCCACTCAGGTACCACCCGCACTCGTACTATGGTGTGCTGGCTAATGATTGAGGACACATAACAGGAAAAATCTTGTGTCTCGTTCCATGACACTAGAGTGATGGAAGGTCAGAAACCCCAATGATGATCCAAAACATCGAGTTCGAACATGCCGTCCTGCACTGATACCATGCATGGTCCCATGTCAAAGAATATAAGAAAATAAAACCGTGTCTCCGAACCATATGATACTAGATGGAGTTGATGACCCCCACCGCAAATGATCCATATCTACAACCGACACTCGTACTACTTCCAATCGTATCATGGTCCCCTGGCTGATGATCGAAGAACAAAAATAGAAAAGTCTTGTGCTACGTTCCATGACACTGGAGTGATGGCTGGCCGGAACCCCCAATGCATGATCCATAACCTCAAGTTTGAACGTGCAGCCATGCACCCAGACCATGCAGAGTCCCATGTCGAAGAACATAAAAAAAGCAAGCCGTGTCTCGGACCCATATCATATTAGATAGTGAAGGGTTTTGAGCATTCTAACACTCCTAAGGTGTACATGCAACCCTAAATACCTTGGATCTATGTTTTCTCTATTATACATGCAAACTTGAACTTTCCAAGGTATTACCCTAACTAGCATACAAAACTTTGATACAAGGGTAATAAAACAAGTAAGATGACCTACCTTTTGTTGTAGTTGGAAGCCTTGGAGTATTTGGCCTTTAAGAACTTAGCACCAATAGTGTGGATGCCTCTAATGGAATCACAACACACCATGGACAAAGAATGACATTTTTTGAGAGAGAATCTTCATACCCCAAAACCGTCCATATAAACTACAAGAACATTCGGTGGTGATTTTGGCTATAGAGTAACATATTTATATGTGGGATTCCAAAAGTCATGGGTTAACCCTAACCCATACCTATGGGTTTATGATCCATGGTTCATGTGGCCAAACTCTTTACGTATCCATACATAAACTTAGTCCAACATGGATCATAATCCCAACATATAAATATAACAAATTTGCACAATTAGTCCCCATCGATTTAATTAGTCTCTTTTGATCACCAAATTAATTCCAAACTCATTCTTGATCAATACTAATTAAATCATATGATTTCATATTAATATATTAGAACTTATAATATATTAATAAACCATAAATTACCGCTTCTAAAAAGTCCATCCTAACAAATTGTCTTGATGGTATGCAACCCAAATGGACCATTCTAATCTCGGGTCAAGTATATACCAATTATAGTTATGGGCTTAGACACCTATTCCAACAGTCTCCCACTTGGATAAGTCTAATAACTATTATTGCAAGTACGACTCCAAAATCCAGACTAGTAATCGTAGCTCTTATAAGCCATTGTCGAACTCTGACCTAGTCAATGATGCGTCCATTAGATAAGGGATCATATATTCCTCCATTCTAGATATCACATGGACAGAGACATGGATTATAATCATTCTCTCTATCCATTTGTTGTTTCCCGATTTCCGATTTATGATGACCGACTAGTTGAACAAATCAAATTAGTCTAGGCCCGGCCGAGCACTTAGGGTTGTCATCACTAAATCATCAAGGGGGCCACATATATCACTTTTATACCTCATAGGGTAAAAGGAATGGATAAACTTCGACTCATATGCTTTCTCTATTTACTCATCAAATCACACACAATGATGCGTTTTTATAACACCAAGTTACTGGTGCGTTTTCACATCATCAATGTGCAACCAACTTGTAAAGTGCAACTCATATCTCTTAGTTTCAAGAACATAAGATATTATCGTCTCATGATCACTCGTGATAAAATCCATGAAGTGATTCTAATGAGCGTGGGTTTAATCCAATACTCGAATCTTATTCCAGGAGCACTCATGAACACTGCAGCTATATCTAAAACACCTAGACAAACTACAGACCGATTCATGACAGTCTTGCCTCAATACCTACTTCCACAGTATGATTGACTGTGGATGGTTTGAATAACCTAGTTATTCGGGAAGTCAAAACATATAAAGTGAAACACAAGAATAATACTAATCCTATATGGCCCCAAAACTTTGAGTGCCATATTGATTACTCATTATTCATTGTATAATGTTTCGAATAATGAACCCAATACTTGAATTAAAACAATAGTCATGTCATGCTCCAAACATGCACACTAAGTTTGTCTAAACAATAGTTATATCATGCTCCAAGCATGCACACTATTTTTTATTTATGGTCCTTACTTTGTGAAATAAATCAATTGACAATATTTCAATGATGCTCATTTCACAATCCCAAATCCTTACTGTAAATGTAAGAATATCAAATTCTTTTCATTTACTGTAATCTGTTAGATTCTAAACTTATATGCAATAAACCTTTTGTAATGACTATGAAAAAAGTCACAGAGACTTGGCAACACACATTACAAAGTATTCCAATGGAGAGCAATTCCATGGAAAACGAAGTCTCACATTCGAAGTACATTCCTTTGAACATCCTTCTTGCATTAAGTTTTCTAATCTTACACAGATTTAAAGAATGACTTCCACTTATGGAAACATTTCCATATTCCCATTTTGACTATCACTTCTAAACAAGAGTTGCCTCTTTTCAGGATATGTCAATATGGTCCTTTCCAAAATTTACACCATACTTTCAAGTGTCCATGAGCAACCAATCTTTGGTAAACCTCAGATTGTCCTCGACAATTGCTTAATCAGTTTAGTCATATCCAGTTCTAGTCCTTTTCCCTCTTAATGCCCTAGGCATTTGGAAAATTTAGAACAGATGAATATTACAACACATATAATCGATCCCATATCTAAAGCATATGGGACACGATTCATGATGTCTCACATAAAAACATGATACTAGACCAGTCTTTTGGTATAATATTTCTATTTCTATTTGCCATGTTCTCATAATTCGAAATATGTAAAGGGATACCGTAATCATAGTCGAATTTCGAGAATGCAATTAACATTTCCATATATATAATTTCCTTATGTTGAACCATTCCAACATAATATTCATATATATGCTTGACTAAATTTGATTAAAATCTCAATCTAAGCTTTTAGAATTGAAATGATATATGAATTCCTCTCCCTTAATTATAGCAAAATAACTTTTCAAACCCTGCAAC